TTGAGAACCACTGTTCTAAAAGGTAATCAAGCCAATGAAGTCAGTACAACAGAGATAAGGGGGCATGGCCCTTGTTCCAGCAATATTTGGAAAGGTCAGGAATTTCAGGGCTGGAAAACGAGCTTAGTGCAGCTCCAGCATTGCCTAGAAAGACAGCACATTTCCCCCCTAAGTTCTTCAACTTTTAGGCTGCTTATAGCACAACTTTGCCAATCCTCAACTGAGCCCAGCACATCATGTTCCTGAGAAAGGCCCTTCCTGTAAGTCTGTATCAATAAAGGGAAGATGGATCCTTCATGAGAGACCAATCTGTACCGTTGTAGACTGCCAAATCTCTCCTTCCAACATAAGTACACACTACGCCTTGTCGGGGCGCTGGAGCTTGAGCACCTCAATGATGTCATGAGCGAAACCGTGAAGGGACACCCAAGACGGGACGGTTGTGGCAGAGAGGTCAGACCAAGCGTGATCCCTGGGGAAGGCAATGGCAAACCACCCCAGTATCCTTGCCAAGAAAACTAAATGGACCAGTACAACCAGAGATATGTCGGTATGCCATTGGAAGATGGGACTCCCAGGTCGGAAGATGGCCAAAATGCTACTGGGGAGGAGCAGAGGATAAGTTCAACTAGCCCCAGATGTGATGACGCAGCTAGCTCAAAGCCGAAAGGAAGGCTAGCGGCCGACGGTACTGGAGGTGAACGACGAATCGATGCTCTAAAGATCAACACACCATAGGAACCTGGAATGTAAGATCTATGAGCCAGGGCAAATTGGATGTTGTTATTGGTGAGATGTCAAGACTAAAGATAGACATTCTGGGGGTCAGCGAACTGAAATGGACTGGAATGGGCCACTTCACATCAGATGACCACCAGATCTACTACTGCGGACAAGAGGAACATCGAAGAAATGGAGTAGCCTTCATAATTAATAAGAAATTCGCTAAAGCGGTGCTTGGATACAACCCAAAAAATGACAGAATGATCTCAATTCGAGTGCAAGGAAAGCCTTTCAACATTACAGTGATCAAATATATGCCCCAACCACAGCTGCTGAAGAAGCAGAAGTAGATCAGTTCTATGAGGATCTGCAGGACCTACTGGATAATATACCAAAAAGAGACATTATTTTCATTACAGGAGACTGGAATGACAAGGTGGGAAGTCAAATGACAACTGGGATCACAGGCAAGCATGGTCTGGGAGAACAAAATGAAGCGGGACGCAGGCTGATAGAATTTTGCCAGGAAAACTCGCTGTGTATAACGAATACTCTCTTCCAACAACCTAAAAGACGGCTTTACACATGGACCTCACCAGACGGTCAACACCGAAAGCAGATTGACTACATCCTTTGCAGCCAAAGGTGGCGGACATCCATCCAGTCGGTGAAAACAAGACCTGGGGCTGACTGTAGCTCAGATCACGAACTTCTTATTGCCCAATTTAGAATAAAACTAAAGAGATCAGGGAAAATACACAGACCAGTTAGATATGATCTCACTAACATTCCTAGCGAATATACAGGGGAAGTGAAGAACAGATTTGAAGGACTAGATTTAGTAAACAGAGTCCCAGAAGAACTATGGACAGAAGTCCGAGACATTGTTCAGGAGGCGGCAACAAAGTACGTCCCAAAGAAAAAGAAAACCAAGAAGGCAAAATGGTTGTCTGCTGAGACACTGGAAGTAGCCCAAGAAAGGAGGAAAGCAAAAGGAAACAGGGATAAGGGGAGATATGCCCAGTTAAATGCGCAATTCCAGAGGTTAGCCAGAAGAGATAAGGAACTATTTTTAAATAAGCAATGCATGGAAGTGGAAGAAGACAACAGAATAGGAAGGACAAGAGACCTCTTCCAGAAAATTAGAAACATTGGAGGTAAATTTCAGGCAAAAATTGGTATGATAAGAAACAAAGATGGCAAGGGCCTAACAGAAGCTGAAGAGATCAAGAGAAGGTGGCGAGACTATACAGAAGATCTGTATAGGAAGGATAATAATATTGAGGATAGTTTTGACGGTGTGGTGAATGAATTAGAACCAGACATCCTGAGGAGTGAGGTTGAATGGGCCTTAAGAAGCATTGCTAACAACAAGGCAGCAGGAGACGACGGGATCCCAGCTGAACTGTTTAAAATCTTAAAAGATGATGCTGTCAAGGTGATGCATGCCATTTGCCAGCAAATATGGAAAACACAAGATTGGCCATCAGACTGGAAAAAATCAACTTACATCCCCATACCAAAAAAGGGAAATGCGAAAGACTGCTCAAACTTCCGTACAGTGGCCCTTATTTCTCATGCCAGTAAGGTAATGCTCAAGATCCTGCAAGGAAGACTCCAGCAATACATGGAGCGAGAGTTGCCAGATGTTCAAGCTGGGTTTAGAAAAGGCAGAGGAACGAGAGACCAATTGCCAATATCCGCTGGATAATGGAGAAAGGCAGGGAGTTTCAGAAAAACATCTATTTCTGCTTCATTGACTATTCTAAAGCCTTTGAGTGTGGATCATAATAAATTATGGCAAGTTCTTGGTGGGATGGGCATACCAAGCCACCTTGTCTCTCTCCTGAGGAATCTGTACAAGGACCAAGTAGCAACAGTCAGAACTGACCACGGAACAACAGACTGGTTCAAGATTGGGAAAGGCGTACGGCAAGGCTGCATACTCTCACCCAACCTTTTTAACTTGTATGCAGAACACACCATGCGATGTGCGGGGCTGGATGAATGCAAAGCTGGGGTGAAAATTGCTGGAAGAAACATTAACAACCTCAGATATGCAGATGACACCACTCTGATGGCCGAAAGCGAGGAGGAGATGAGGAGCCTTCTAATCAAGGTGAAAGAAGAAAGCGCAAAAGCCGGGTTGCAGCTAAACGTCAAAAAAACCAAGCTTATGGCAACAAGAATGATTGACAACTGGGAAATAGAGGGAGAAACCGCGTGGAGGCCGTGACAGACTTTGTATTTCTAGGCGCAAAGATTACTGCAGATGCAGACTGTGGCCAGGAAATCAGAAGACGCTTACTTCTTGGGAGGAGAGCAATGTCCAGTCTCGATAAAATAGTAAAGAGTAGAGACATCAGACTGGCAACAAAGATCCGCCTAGTCAAAGCCATGGTATTCCCTGTAGTAACCTATGGATGTGAGAGCTGGACCTTAGGGAAGGCTGAGCGAAGGAAGATCGATGCTTTTGAGCTGTGGTGTTGGAGGAAAGTTCTGAGAGTGCCTTGGACTGCGAGAAGATCCAACCAGTCCATCCTCCAGGAAATAAAGCCCGACTGCTCACGGGAGGGAAAGATACTAGAGACAAAGTTGAAGTACTTTGGCCACATCATGAGGAGACAGGAAAGCCTAGAGAAGACAATTATGCTGGGGAAAGTGGAAGGCAAAAGGAAGAGGGGCCGACCAAGGGCAAGATGGATGGATGGCATCCTTGAAGTGACTGGACTGACCTTGAAGGAGCTGGGGGTGGTGACGGCTGACAGGGAGCTCTGGCGTGGGCTGGTCCATGAGGTCACGAAGAGTCGGAGACGACTGAACGAATGAACAACAACAACAACATCAGGTGTCCCCAAATCTTTTAAGCTGAGGGCCAGTTCACGGTCCCCAAATTGTTGGGGGCTGGACTATAGTTTGAAAAAAAAAAAGAACTAATTTCTATGCACTACATATCTTATTTGTAGTGCAAAAAATATGAAAAACAATTTGTGTGGCTTGCTTTTGACTGATGAGAGAGTCAAGATAATTAGGATTGTTGCTGTTGTGTGCCTTCAAGTTGTTTCAGACTTAGGGCATCCCTAAGGCAACTCTCACACAGAGTTTTCTGATCAAGATTTATTCAAAGGGAATTTACCTTTGTCTTCCTCAGAGGATGAGAGAGTGTGACTGGCATAAAGTCACCCAGTGGGTTCAAACCACTAAGCCGCACTTTCTGAATTCCTTCCCTCTGTGCTGTCGAAGGATTTCATTGCTGGAATCACTGGGTTGCTATGAGTTTTCTGGGCTGTATTGCCATATTTCAGAAGCATTCTCTCCTGACATTTCGCCCACACCTAAGGCAGGCATCCTCAGAAGTTGTGAGGTCTGTTGAAAACTAAGCAATGGAGGTTTATATATCTGTGGAAGGTCCAGGGTGGGAGAAAGAAATGTATGAATATTGCAATTAATCACCTTGATTAGAATTGAATAGCCTTGCAGCTTCAAGGTCTGGCTAATTCCTGCCTGGGGAGATCCTTTGTTGGGAGGTGTCATCTGGCCCTGATTGTTTCCTGTCTGGAATTCCACTGTATTCAGAGTGTTGTTCTTTATTTACAGTCCTAATTTTAGAGGTTTTTTTAATACTGGTAGCCAGATTTTGTTCATTTTCATGTTTTTCTATTGAAATTGCTAAGTTAATCAAGGCGATTAATTGCAACATTCACACTTGTCTCCAACAGACAAGAGTGCTTTCCCCCACCCTGGACAGATGTGGGCGAAACGACAGGAGATAATGTTTCTGGAACATGGCCATACAGCCCGGAAAACTCACGGAAAACCCACTTTCCTGTTTCCAACCTACATTTCTTTCTCTCTTTCTTCCTTTTCTTCCTTCTCTGTTTTCTCGCTACCTTTTGTTCTTTTTCTTCTTCTTCCTTCCTTCCCCCTTTTTTTCCAACTTCCTTTTTTTTTTCTTTCACCCACCTCCATCTCGATCATTTCCCTCTTCTTCCCTCCTCCCTCATTCCTTCTTTTCCCCCCACAGCAGGAGGGCGGGGTGGCTGTGTGCAATGGTAGGGGCAGAGGTATGAAAGGGCAAACACAGAAGGGGCAGGTGCATGTAAAAACTGGGGAAAATATCTCAGAGAGCTGGATCTGGACTGCGTGCCTTAGTTTGGAGATCCCTGCACTACATAAACCAGCAAAAGAAATTACCACCATGTCCTCTATTGTTAGTTCAAAAGTAAAATTCATGTTCCCGAGGGCGCTGCTTGGTCCCATCTGCTGCGTTCACCTACCGGAAGTGATGCCTTCTCCCTGGTTGATCTGAGCAAAAAGAGCCGAGCGGGAGGCAGGGTCATCGGAGCCAGAGCTGGCGGGGGCCGGAGCCGGAGGAGGCGGGGGTCCAGGGGGTGGTGGCGGAGGCCCTCCACAGAAAGCGGGAGAAGGGGCCTGAGATCCATTTGCCTTATCAGAGGACATTGGTCCCTGAGGGGCAAGAGAAAGAAAAATATATATAGAGGGAAAAAAACCATACCCCAAGAACCAACAACAAAGTTGGGTTATGCTGAGGATGAAGGCCCAACCCGCACTCACCGTTTTGCTCCAGGACAGGCCTGTGGTGTGATATTCCTTGATGTATGCCTGCAGCTCTGTCCAGATGCTCAGGTAAGCTTTCACCCAGTCCACATGCTTCTTATCGCTAGGAGAAAGAGGAGCCGGGCAGACTCGTTGGTCGAGGCAAGGGGGATATTTGAAACGCTGGCTGAAACGGGAGCCTTAGGCGCTCTACCCCCCCCCCCCCTTCTCCCAGCTTGAGGGTCATAATTTTACACAAATTGATTACTCAAGCTTCCCTAAAAGGAAACCCAATAGCCCCTCTCCCTGCCTGCTGTATTCCACTTCCTCCTGTCCCCAGGAAACTGCCATTCTGCTCCCATATCGCTATTCCTATCTTGGCAATACTACATTTGTTGAACCCCCCACTTCAGCATTTACTTTACACCAGGGGTCCTCAAACTAAGGCCTGAGGGCCGGATACGGCCCTCCAAGGTCATTTACCCGGCCCTCACTCAGGGTCAATCTAAGTCTGAAGCGACTTGAAAGCACACAACAACAACAACAATTTTATCTCAACAGCCAAGAGCAGACCCACACTTCCCATTGAAATAAGTTTATATTTGTTAAAATTGTTCTTCATTTTAATTATTGTATTGTTTTAACTGGTTTTTTGCACTACAAGTAAGATATGTGCAGTGTGCATAGGAATTCATTCATATTTTTTTCAAATTATAATCTGGCCCTCCAACAGTTTGAGGGACTGTGACCTGGCCCTCTGTTTAAAAAGTTTGAGGACCCCTGCTTTACACTGTAGAACACTATCACTGCTCAGTGAAATTATTCCTGGATTACTAAACTCAAGGTGGACAGGCCATGGTAGCCCCACAATGCATTCAGCATCTGATCCAGAATTTATTCACTGAGCCTGGCTTTCTGTTTCTGGTAATTGCTATCCTTCTTACTTCAGACATATCTGGAGGACTAAAGCACGTTACCCATTTGGAATGCTGGCCAATTCCACTTGAACTATATGGCTGCCATGATACATCTTAAAGGAACACCACCGCCAGCCATTTTTAATGTAACTGTATTTTAAACTGTTTTGTAGTATTTGTAGTAATGTTCATTTTTGTTTTAGTTAATCATGTCTTACTGACCACTCTGTCGTATTTTTATTTCAATGCTTAGCCCTTCATGGTAAACTCATTGTTATTATTGTGCTCTATCGTGTATTTTGATAGGTTTTTGATATGTCTTGTACTCACTTAGGCACTGAATGTCTGCCTTCTTATGTGTAAACTGTCCTGAGTCCCCTTGGGGAGAGAGGGTGGTATAGAAATAAATAAATAAATAAAAATAATAATAATTATCATTATTCAGGATATATGGGATCTATAGTCATTGGAAGCATCCCAGAAAATTCCCTTTTATAACTATGTGTCCATTATTATTATTATTATTATTATTATTATTATTACTACTACTAGCTGTACCCGCCACGCGTTGCTGTGGCCAACCTTCCCCCCCTTTCTCTCCTCCTTTCTTTCTCTCCTTCCTTCCCTCCCTCCCTCTTTTTCTTTCCCTTCTTCTTTCTTCCTTCTCTACCTGTTTCTTTTCTCACTTCCTTTGCTCTTTAGTTCCATCCTTCCTTGTCTCTTTCCTTCCCTTCCTCTTTCGTTCCTTCTCTCCTTCCTTCCCTTTCATTTATTTCATTCTCTCCTTCCTTTCTTCTCTACCCTTCTCTCTTTCCTTCTTTATCTCCTTCCCTCATTTCCCTCTTTCCCTCTCTCCTTCCTTCTCTACCTTTCTTTCTTTCCTTCTCTCCTTCTTTTCCTCTTTCTCCCCTTTCGCTCCCTCCTTCCTTCCTTCTCTACCCTTTTCTTTCCTTCTTTATCTCCTTCCCTCCTTCCTTCTCTACCCTTCTTTCCTTCCTTTTTTCCTGCCCTCTTTCTCTCCTTCTCCCCTTCCTTCCTTCTCTACCCTTTTTTCCTTCCTTCTCTCCCTCTTTACTTCTCTACCTTTCTTTCCTTCCTTCTCTCCTTCCCTTCTTCTCTCCCTCCTTCCTTCTCTACCCTTCTTTCTTTCCTTCCTTCTCTCCTTCCTTCCTCCTTTCTGTGTATGTGTTTTGTGTCTGTATATGCATATATGTGTGTGTATATGTGTGTTTGTGTATATATGTGTGGTTATGCGTGTGCGTTATAACGTTTTTTTTTGTTTTTTGGCTTTTTAAGTCCCTTCTGCTGGGTTTTTTTCAGTGTTTTTATGAGTGATGGTCGCTCGTTGGCCTGAGAGATATCTTGTGTCCAAATTTGGTGTCAATTCGCCCAGTAGTTTTTGAGTTCTGTTAATCCCACAAACGAACATTACATTTTTATTTATATAGATTATTGTTATATCTTATTGTTCCCATATCCTTGAGCAGCAAAACCTAAGTAAAGGCCTTAGAGAAGCTGAAAGATGTTGAACAATTCTTGACTAAGCATCAGCGTAAGCCACACACCCCCTGCAACCCCACATTAGTTGCCTGCAGCCTCCCACAGATTTGTAGAGCTAAACACAACCTACACATCTTTGTATTCCTTGAGGACTCGGTTGCTATAGAACATGGCGGCATCTGTCATTTCCTTCACGTAGGGGACAGGTTTGGGGGCCTGCAAGAAGAGAATGTACATCAGATTACAAACTCACAGTCTGTTATCAGAGTCTGGAAAAAGATCTCCTGAATTTAAGTTTAAGATCGTGATCCAATATAATCTGAAAGGCCCCTAGAAATGAGCAAGGAAGGTCTTCAGCTCCACCTGAAGAAGAGAGAATCAGGTAAGCAGGACTGAATGAGCTCTCAGGAAATTTGAAACATGGTAAAAACAACACTGGGATTTGGCTTGGCTTTGCATCATTTCATCTCTCATAGGAATCTGCCATCCAGTTGTTAATGGACCTAACTGTCAGAAATATTAAAAATTAACTGGGTATTTTTGATTACAAAAGTGTGAGTCAAGCACTGAAAGAGTTAGTCTGCCAAAGCCTGTTTGAGTCAGTGGACTACAGATAGAGTCATCCTGAGGAGTGTGAGGTAAACCTCTGTGTGAGAGAAGCCTCGTGTGAGAAAGCTCTGGTGTGAAGGCTGCCATGTTTAAATCTACCGTGTATTTGTTTATTTGTGTTATGGAAACCTAGTTCTTGTAAATAGTGCAACCATATTATTTTACTACAAAGAAAAGCCTCATATCGAAGAGATAACATTGGTCTGTGTATTTTTGTTCTTTTTATCACTTTGGGCGACTGGTGCTGGGTCACACTGCTACTAATAAGGTACTCTGCTGTACAGTGTTCCCTCACTTATCGCGGATGTTACGTTCCGGGACCACCCGCGAAAAGTACAAATCCGCAAAGTAGGGACACTATATATATATATATATATATTGCATTCTGAGGGTGAGGCAGAAGCAAGGAGAGATTTAAAGGCACCGCACACCTTTTTTTGTGCTAGCTATAAGGAAGGGGCTATAAGGTAATGATTTACATACTGCTTTGTATCTCCTCTCTCTCTCTTTTTATGATTGGCTGCCTCTCTCCTGAGGGGGAGGATGAAACTCCCTTCCACACTCCATTGTTGCCAGGAGGCAAAAACCCACAAAACACTGAGTCTGTGAAAAGCGAACTGCGAAGTACTGAGGGAACACTGTACATTTATGAGGAGGGTAGTCTGGGAAGTCTGACTTGGCCACGGTGGTCCATGCTCTGGTTACATCCCGTATAGACTACTGCAATGCTCTCTACGTGGGGTTGCCTTTGAAGACTGTCCGGAAGCTTCAAATGGTTCAACGCTCGGCAGCCAGGTTACTAACGGGCGGCGCTCAGGGAGCATACAACTCTGCTGCTGCGCCAGCTCCACTGGCTGCCAGTTTGCTACCGGGCACAATTCAAACTGCTGGCTTTAGCCTATATAGCCCTAAACGGTCCTGGCCCGACTTACCTGCCCGAACGCATCTCCTCCTATGAACCAGCTAGAACGCTAAGATTGTCTGGGGAGGCCCTGCTCTCGATCCCGCCTGCATCACAAGTACGTTTGGCGGGGACCAGAGACAGGGCCTCCTCAGTGGTGGCTGTGGAATGCCCTTCCTACAGAAATTAGATCGGCCCCCTCCTTGTTGGCATTTCAGAGGAGGGTGAAGACCTGGTTGTTTGAGCAGGCATTTGAATAGGCAGTGTAACGAATATAGGAATTATGGAACAATTGGATGATGAGGCTGGATCTTGATTTTAACTATGAGACGATATGAGATGTTATATGATGTTTAATTTATTGTTATAATGCTTTTGTTTTAATTGTTTTTAACTGTTTTATGATGTTTTAAGCATTGAATTTTGCTATTGTGAACCGCTCTGAGTCGCCCGAGGGCTGAAAAGAGCGGTATACAAATATAGTAAATAAACAAACAAACAAACAAACAAACAAACAAACAAGGGTCTTTTGTTAATAAGCCCACTCGCCCAACACTTGCATCTACTCCCTTCATCTTTCTCCAAAGTGGCTACGGGAGAGGTGCCGAACAATATCTGGGGAGTCAAAGTCTGCTGCCTTAAAGAATCCTGATTCAGATTGGATGGTAAAATACGTTGGTTTTTTTTTTTTTGTCTATTGTACCGAATTACACTTCTCGTTTCTTGCAGAAGCATGAAGATTTAACCTATGAAAAGGCTGGGCAATCCTGTCAGTAGATACTACTTAATACAGGATCTGTATAACCATAGTAATATGATCAGTGAAATCTACCCCTACCCAGTTTGTATATCCACAGAAGGTAAAGGGTAGCCCCATTTAAAGTTTTGGCCCATTTTCAGGATGGCCTTCTCTCACACACATTGTTTAAAAAGTACGGAATCATCTTGGATGGAAAAGTGCCAATAACTGGGACAGGGAAGTCCCCAGCAGCCCTTACCATGGCAACCCAACCTAGTGCAGGGATGCTCTCCCCAACCGTTGAGAGATGGTTAAAGAGTTTGCTGCCACGGTTCTTGTCCCGGAAGTTCTGGACGACTTGGATCTGGTCAGATATTGGCTTCAGTAGGGATGAGAAGTTGTTCTGCAAGAGCAAAAGATGTTCAACAATGCCTGAGTAACCTGCACACAAGATTGTCCCTTGTCCCGCTGTTCCCCTTCCTTCCATTTTCATTAAATTGCCTACTTAGTCAGTATTCATTTGCCGAGCAGTGCACCCATGTAATGGAGTTCTAAAGAGATGACAGCCACGTTCATTCAATTTTCTTCTTCCAGGAAGCTAACAATTCTCTTCCCCACAACCTCTTCTTCTGTTTGTATCACGGTTGTGTAGAAAGGGACACAGAAGCCCACAAATCCATCACAACTCTGCATGAATCGTTTTTCCAGGCCAACTTTCCTTCAATCAGGATAGCCAACCAAGAACAGCAACTCTGCAGAAACACTTGTAATATGGGAGGCATCTTCTAGAAAAAGGAATGTATTTTACAGCTGGCCCTTGAGCTCCACTGCTGAAATAGTAAAGGGTTTTGTGCACTTACTGCTGCAGGTTGCTGGCACTGAGATGCGGTCACCAGAAGAGCTCTTTCAGTCATCAAGCCTGCATGGACCATATCAGCCTTGAAAATGAGAGGCAGAGAAAGGAAAGATAAAGCATGTAAACATGTATTGTTACATATCACAAATAGCAAAAGGAACAATGTCACATATAACAGGCCCGTATCTTATTATCAAAGCTGAAAGCGAAAGCTGTACAAAGATCTTCAAACTCTAAATCAGTGGTTCCCAACCTTTTTTTGACCAGGGATGACTTTGACGAGGGACCATTCTCCAAAATTAGTAACAAAAGGGTTACAAATCGTTTTTTGGCCAGCTTTAGATTTGGTTTGGTTATTTGGGGTGCTGATTCAGAAAACTGAATTGAACAGACCACATCTGCTCTAGTTTCTGATACAGAACATATGTCATCAAGTAGCTGCAGTCTGCTCACCCACAGAAAACCATATTTAATAATCTAGAGCTGATGCAGTCTATCAAATGCAATTTTCTGAATCAGCACCCCAAATAACAACCAGGAACAGGCCTAATAATAATAATAATAATAACAATAATAGCAAAGGCTCTGGCATAAACCAGCACAGGTGGTCCCACTGGTCATCGGCACACTGGGTGCCGTGCCAAAAGATCTCAGCCGGCATTTGGAAACAATAAACATTGACAAAATCACAATCTGTCAATTGCAAAAGGCCTCCTTACTTGGATCTGCACGCATCATTCGAAAATACATCACACAGTCCTAGACGCTTGGGAACTGTTCGACTTGTGATTTTGTGATACGAAATCCAGCATATAGATCTCGTTTGCTGTGACATACTGTGCTTTTGTGTCAGTAAAATAATAATAATAATAATAATAATAATAATAATAAAATAACTTTATTTTTATACACCGCCAACCATCTCCCCTAGGGGACTCGGGGCGGCTTACAAGGGACACGCCCAAGATTACAATTAAAAACACACATGTAAAACACTTTAACCAATTAAAACATCAGATAAAACAAATAACAACACAATTGAAAGCAATATAAAAACAATACAGCTGAAAGAAACATAGCTGAGGTACAGATTCAATGAGTGCAATACATTTTTACAGGAGTGCAGGAAAGTACAACAATATGGTAAACTGGGCAGGAAATACAGGAAATTAAAACACACAAGTAAAACACTTACCACTTAAAAACATCAGCCTAAAAACAAAGGCACCAAGAAAAAAATGGTTGGGCTGTGTTATTATCCGTAGTAGTAATGGTGAGGCCGCAGACCATATTTTAAGTTCTTGTGGGCCACTGGTGGTCCATGGACCACAGGCTGGGAACCACTGCTTTAGATATTATAACAACTTACTGCTAAGTTAAACTGGACTTCCACGAGTTAGAAAACAGTAGTAGGTATGTATGTATTTTTTACAGTCCCCATACAGTACAAACTGAAAGAATTGGTTTTCTGCCGAACAAACTAAGAGAGCCAAACCTGTGTCCTTTACGGTATTTTGTTAAAATGGCAATAAAAGAATCCTCCACCTTGTGCAAGTAGAACAAACAACTCTGCATCTGTATGCTTGTCCACAATGTCCTGCCTCATGTACAGAGGAAGAATTGTTTAAAGCTACAGACAATGCGGTTACTGATGCCCGTTTTTGGTCAAAAAATATTTAGCTGATTATGCTCCTTCTAGTTTTATCAGTTATATACTTATTTATACAACGCTTTTATACAAAATAAATACTGTATTTTGTTGTTATTATCTGCCTTCAGCCCACACTGACTTACAGTGACACTAATATAGGGGTTTGCTGGCAAGCTTTGTTCCAAGGAGGCTTGCTACTGTTTACTACTAAGGCTGAGAGAGTGTGGCTTGCCCAAGATGAACTGGTGGGTTTCCATGACCGAGTAGGATTTGAATCCCGTTCCCTCAGAATCCTATTCCATTCAAGCCACCACACCATGTTGGTTTGGTTTTTGGTCCAAGGAATAGAGCGCACACATGGATCCCTCCATTATTCCGCTCAATTTTCTCTTCAACGCCCTTGAAGAATTTTTTTTGGTCGTGTCAGGAGAAGATGTGCAAGTAAGACTGATTCAAGGATAGAGTATGGCCTTCAAAGCTAATGAAGGATTTGAGCCTAAATTGTTACAATCCTATTATTTAGCAGAAGGCTTCCAGATGATGGGACTGCCTTTACGATCACTTCTATGACTACAAGAGGAGTGTTGATTTTAACAACACAGGCTGACAATTTGACATCTTATCAAGCCATCTGGCGTAGCAGTTAGTGCTGAACTAAGACTGGGGAGACTTCCCCACAGATCCGCATTCAGCCATAGAGCTCAATGGGCTGCCCTTGGCTAGTTTCACAGACACAGCTTCACCTATTGTGAGGATATAACAGAGGAGAGGAAAAACGTGAGCCATGGGAAAGCAGGACATGAATGCAAATACATAAATAGGTCCAGTCACGTTAGACTCTGGGAGTTGGTGCTCACCTCCATTTCTAAGCCAAAGAGCCGGCGTTGTCCATCAACACCTCCAAGGTCCTTTGGCTGGAATGACTGCATGGAGCACTGTTACCTTCCCGCCAGAGCGGGACCTATTGATCTACTCACATTTGCATGTTTTCGAACTGCTAGGTTGGCAGAAGCTGGGGCTAACAGCGGGAGCTCACGCCACTCCATGGATTTGAACCTGTGACCTTTCGGTCAGTAAATTCAGCAGCTGAGCGGTTTAACCTACTGCACCACTGGGGGCTCCAAAATACATAAATAACCTCCAACAATTTAATAACTGGTTGTGAGCAACAGGGGCAGAGAAATGCTATCTAGCATTGGGAATAAACAATGGAAAGCCATTCTGAATCTGTGGGATGGTGAAGGATGTGAGTTGACTAAATAATGAGTTTGAGTAGTTCTGACAGGCGAGGTAGAACAGAGTTCAAATCCTTGTTTATTTAGTCATAGAAACCCACTGTGTGCCAGGTTTGTCTTAGGGACTCCACACATCAGAAATGTTTTTATTTACTGAATTCATATATTGCCTATATCTGAAAGTGAGATCTAAAGTGAGAAGTGACTTGAATGCACAAAACAACAGGGAAAGCCAATCAAGTTGTTAGAAATATTAAAGATTAACTAGGCATTTTTAATTACAAAAATGTGAGTCAAGCACTGAAAGGGTTAAATGGATGCAATGACTTAGCAAAAGCTGCAGTTCTATATAAGCAAGTGTGCCTGTAGTTTAGTAATCTTTTGTGTTAGTGGGAGAAAGGTCTCAGTTTGTGAGAAGGCCTCACAGTGTGAGGGAAGCCTTAATCTGTGAGATAAACCTCGGCATGAGAAGGCCTCGTGTGTGAAGCTCCAGTGTGAAGGTTGAACTTTATTTGTGTCATGGAAACCTTGTCATCGTAAATAGTGCAACCATATTATTTTGCTACAAAGAAAAGCCTAAGGAAGATATAACATTCGTCTGTGTGTTTTTATTCTTTTTATTTCTTTAGGCTACTGGTGCTGGGTTACGCTGCTGCTAAGTTACTTTGCTGTGCATTTATGAGGAGGGTCTTTTCTTAATAAGCCCACTCGCCAAACACAAGCAACTATAGTCATTTGAAAAGAACAAACAAAAAACCTTTCCAAATATGAATATATGTAAAAGACAATATATAGTACTCTTTTCACCCAAAGACAGTCACAAATTCACTGGCTGGTTTTAGGAAAGCTGTGTGGCACTGAAAGAGTTCTTTCAAAAGGTTTAGTGACATTGTATATCTAGGTGAAGTCTTTTGAACATTCTTTCAATCTATATAAATAAAAATGTAATGTTCATTTGTGGGATTAACAGAACTCAGAAACCACTGGACGAATTGACAACAAATTTGAACACAAGACAACAAATAAAGCGATCTATATCCTTCATTCAAAAAAACAAAACAAAAAAATCGGAAAGAACTTAAACCCCCATAAGCCTAAATGACTATCAGAGCATGCGTTAAAAGAACTTCCTCCCCCGCCCCTCGCTCCTGCACTAGGGGAAAAACCCAACAGCTGAGAGAGGCGGCTTGAGAGAGGGAGGGAAAGGTGGCTGGTATATCCCTCTTGCTAACCCCTGCCACTCTCTTCCCAAAGGATTCAGAGAGGGATGGAGGGAAGGAGAGAGGGAGAGAGAGAGAGAGAACACCCTCCTCCAGATCTACCCTTTCCTTCCTTTCCTTTCCTTTTCTTTTTTCCCCTTTCCCTCTTGGGTCTTGGCTCTCGGCAGCATGGAGGTACCTGCTGGGAACTCACACGGGAGGGATTCTGTGTGTGTTTGCCCAGAAAGCTAATCCATATTGAGTTATGGGAAGGAATTCTGGGAAATGAAGTCCAGTATTCAAAGAAAGGACAAAAAGGCATGCCCTGTGAGTTAGCAAAGGCTGTCCAGGAAGGCACAATCAAAACACTCCCAAAAGATGGCCATAAATTTTTACTTTATAGCAACCATGGGCCATAATATATCTACAACAATAATATCTATATATCTATCATAATAATATCTATAAGTCTATTATATATGTGTGTGTGTGTCTATGATATCTATATGTCTATAGCAATAATATCTACATGTCTATAATATGCATATCCATGTCTATAATTATAATATCTGTCTGTCAATAATATCTATACATCTATAATAATATTAATACCTATATGCTTATAATATCTATGTCTATAATAATAATATAAAATCTATAATATCTATATGCCTATAATAATATCTATAAGTCTGTAATAATATCCATACATCTGTTGCTGGTTTTTGCTCAAAAAATATTTAGCCCTGTGCTCCTTCTATTTTTAATCAGTTTTATACTAATTTATGCAATGCTTTTGATACAAAAAAATAACATCTATAATAATAATACCTACATGCTTTTAATAATATTTGTGTCTATAATAATATCTATACATCTGTAATAATAACAACAATAATAATAGCTATATAATATCTTTGAACTGGGTTATATGGCAGTGTGGACTCAGGTAACCCAGGGCCCTTCCACACATCCATATAACCCTATGGCCTTAAGGAGACTGAAATGGGCCTGTATTAGGTTGACACTTTGCCACTTCAGTTGTGTATTGATAGCTTAGAAACCAGCTCTTCCTCTTTTCTTTCTTTCCCATTTCTCCACAATGGGCCACAGCAATGCGTGGCCGGGTACAGCTAGTGCTACATAAATGCCTAAGAATTATCTGCTGCTACACAACTGTCAGCTTAAGTTATCAGTCAGACAGGAGCTAAGTCTAAAGAGGTAGAGATAAGGGCTGAATAGGATCAAAGTGACAAAGACTGGGGTGTGTGTCTGAGAAAAAAAGTACAAGGGTCAGAAGCCTTGTTGTGGAAGGGAAGGCAGGTGCAGAGGCCTCCAAAGTTTTCTTGCAAAACAAATGGAGAAAGTAGTGGGAATGCCATGGGTGCAGGACAGAAAATAAAGCTACAGTTCAGACATCAAACCTGGGGGCACACTTTCTAGCATCAGAAAACCCATTGCTGGTTTTCTGATGACAGCTGAGTGGGAACTCCCTTCTTAATCACCACTTGGTAGTGGTGGTTACATGAGAATAAAGTATTTTTTCCGGCCTCCCTTTTCTCCGATACAAATCCTGTTTTTTTGTTATTGTACATCAAGATTTATGGCACCCAACAGTCCTGATCATCAATAGCTCGGGTCTTGCAAAGTCAGAGCTGACGCTTCCTGACTGAAAGAAATCACCTTTAGTAACGCTTTCCTCTTTTCCCCGCTTTGGCTGCTCTCAAGATTACAAACATGGGAAACTTGCAATGTAAATGTTAAAAGATCTGTGCTGTTGATTTGATAACAGTTCAGGGCAGTTAAAAAAATTGACAATTATTTAATTTGAGACTGACACTAAATATGAACCTCCTCAAGCTTTCAGTGCTGCAGCTTGTCTGTGGAGCAACTTCTTTCAAGTCAAGCATATCGTACAACTCTGGTATCCATAGGAAATCTGTTGCGTGACACTCTCCCCCCCCCCCCCCCCCCCCCCCCCCGGGCGATACTAGTAGCTAATAGTATATATATATTGGCTATATTTCAGCTGGATGCATACAATAGAATTGTATTGCTGACAAACACATTTCAGCTGGCAGGATATTGTTTGGAGTGTGGTTAAGTGAAACCATGGGTATAAATCCATCCATAAGGGGGTCAAACTGTACTTCTGAGCTTGGAAATATACTCTCCCCATCCTTAAAGTGGTATATCCAAGCCATCGTGTGTGTGGCAAGTTCATGTTTCAACTCTCTCACTAAAGTCTCTGAACAAATAAGATTTACAAGATCTTTCAGGCACTGCCAAAAAGCCCCTAATTAAACACGCAAATAAATTTTTTTGCAAAATGCATGAATGGAGACTTTTTAGGGAGGAAATAGGCGCACAACTCGTTCTTTATTGTAGCACCACTGTATTTGTTCCAACTCTTTTTTTGGGGGGGGGGGGGGCTCACAGACTCAGGTGGCAGTTCTCCAAACTCCAGTGTTTAAGTGCCAGAACTGCATGTTTGGCAAAAATAGGATTCAGGAAAGAAGCCGGAGCCTTACATGCTTTTGGACATCACCACCAATCTCTTTGCTTATCTTCATGTATTCGGTTACTGGACCTGCCAAAAGAGCGTCGAAGGCTTGTACATACGCAGCTAGTCCTGCAGGGGGAAGACAGAAAGCAGAGAATGGGAATCCAGAGGTAGCAGATGCATTTGGATGGAAGCATTTGCAAGAAGTATATTGGCAAAAAAGTATATGAACGAGCTGGAACATGGTCAGAGAAATGGTCAAAGTTCTGGAAGCCATGAATCCCTATGAGGAATGGCTTGTGGATCTGGGGATGTTAATGGAAATTGGAGTGGAAATCATCTATTGGACAGCTGGAAAGCTATTTAACCTCGGCAGACTGAAAGCAAAACCAAGGTTACAACATCTGTTACAGAACTCCAATATGCTAATGACAACATCGTCTGTGCGCATTCAGAAGACCTACAAGCCACTTTAAACACCTTCACAGAAGCATACGAGAAGCTCGGCCTGTCATTGAATATTGAGAAAACCAAAGTGCTCTTCCAGCAGTCACCGGCCAATCCCTCTCCAATGCTAGAAATACAGCTTAATGATGTATTAACTTTTTGACTATTTCCGCTACCTTGGCAACCACCTCTCCACAAAAGTCAACATTGACACTGAAATACACCACCTGAGGACTGCGAGTGCAGCATTTTTCAAGATTGAAGCAGAGAGTGTTTGAGGACCGGGACATCTGTAGGGATACCAAGGTGCTTGTTTATAAAGCTATTGTCCTCCCAACCCTGCTATACGCCCGTGAGACGTGAACCATCTACAGACATCACATGCAACTCCTAGAACGATTCTATCAGCGCTGCCTCCGAAAAATCCTCCAAATCTCTTGGGAAGACAAGCGGACAAATGTCAGCATGCTGGAAGAAGCAAAGACCACCAGCACTGAAGCGATTGTCCTCCGCCATCAACTCCGCTGGACCGGCCACCTTGTCCGGATGCCTGACCACTGTCCCCTAAAGCAGTTGCTCTACTCTGAACTCAAGAATGGAAAACAGAATGTTGGTGGGCAGGAAAAAAGATTTAAAGATGGGCTCAAAGCCAACCTTAAAAACTGTGTAATAGACACTGAGAACTGGGAAGCCCTGGCCCTTGAGTGCTCCAGCTGGAGGTCAGCTGTGACCAACAGTGCTGTAGAATTTGAAGTGGCACGAATGGAGGGTGAAAAAGGGAAACATGCCAAGAGGAAGACGTGTCAAGCCAACCCCGACTAGAACCGGCTTCCACCTGGAAATCAATGCCCTCACTGTGGGAGAACATGCAGATCAAGAATAGGGCTCCACAGTCACCTACGGACCCACCGCCAGTACACCGATCGTGGAAGACAATCATATTCAGACAACGAGGGATCGCCTAAGTAAGTAAGTAAGGTCAGAGAAATGGTCAAAGTTCTGGAAGTCATGAATCCCTATGAGGAATGGCTTGTGGAGCTAGGGGTGTTTAGCTTGAAGAAAAGAAGGTTAAGAAGGGGCATGGGAGCTATGTTTAAATATTCTAAAAGACTTCATATTGAATGCAGGGATCTTACCTTTCTGGGGGCTATCCCCACAGCTGCCATGCCCACCGGGACGATAAGACATCATCTCTAAGTGTCCCACTGCTCTCTCCAACCGTTCGACTAGGTTCTGCAGCTCTGTCATCTCTCAGCACCTGTTAAGTGTGACCACACATTAAGAAGACAGCAAGTACAACCAATACTCCAACAGACTTAATCTACAGACAATTGTATAATAATCAAAAGGTAAGGTGATGATTGAAACCAGAATGGATGACCGAAACCAGGACTATTTATTTACAAATTCTCAACTATTTTTGGCAAGAGTTTTCTGCTACAAAAATGATCCCAAGACAGAAAGCAAATGTATATCACGCAACAACAATAAATAAAGGAATTGCTCTGTTTTGTTCACTTTGTGTCATTATTTTGTTCAGAGTGCCACAATACTGCTGCCAAATGAGTGTTCAGTCTCTAAAAGTCCTGATCTCAACATCACAATAGTTTGCATTCTATAAGGATCATGCACATCCCTCGACAAGTTTAAGTCCTAGCTGTGTTAATAATGACTGTTTCATCTGAGAAATGTATACCAAGTCTACAAATCATCAGCGGCCAAAGAGGCATAAGCAAATGCTCATCATTTTGGACACAGAGGTCAAGAAAATGCTATTTCTGGTGGAGCGAGAGCACGGTCTCTCTAACTCAGCATCCAGTTTCCATTTGTGGTTGATGTTCAGGAACCTACACTAGAACAACATGAAGGAAACAGGTCTCCCTTATCATTTGCGGTGGTAGAAATGAAGTAAATAATAAACAAACAAACAAATAAACGTGTCCCTCTATGTCAGGCATGGGCAAACTAAGCTCCAGGGGTTGGATGTGGCCCCCTGGGTGCTTACCTCATGCCCTCCTTCTTTTCCCTCTCCTCTCGGCATAGGGACGAGGTGGCCTACCACATCCTTTTGCAGAAATGACATGGGAGGAAGACATGCAGGTTACAGCCTGTGTTGGATGGGGTCACACTCCCCCTGAAGATGCAGGTTCGCAGCTTGGGTGTGATCTTGTACTCGTCGCTGAGCCTTGAACCCCAGGTTTCAGCGGTGACCAGGGGAGCATTCGCACAGTTAAAATTTGTGCGCCAGCTGCGCCCGTACCTTGGGAAGTCTGACTTGGCCACGGTACTCCACGCTCTGGTTACATCCCGTATAGACTACTGCAACACTCTCTACGTGGGGTTGCCTTTGGAGACTGCTTGGAAGCTTCAAATGGTCCAGCATTCGGCAGCCAGGTTGCTAACAGGAGCGGCACTCAGGGAGCATACTACTCCTCTGTTGCGCCAGCTCCACTGGCTGCCAGTTTGCTATCGGGCACAATTCAAGGTGCTGGCGTTAGCCTATAAAGCCCTAAACAGTTCTGGCTCTACTTACCTCTCCGAACGCATCTCCTCCTATGAACCGACTAGGACACTAAGATCATATGGGGAGGCCCTGCTCTCTGTCCTTCCTGCATCACAGGCGCGCTTGGCGGGGACGAGAGACAGGGCCTTCTCAGTGGTGGCCCCTCGGCTGTGGAACGCCCTGCTTGCAGATATCAGATCGGCCCCCTCCCTACTGGCGTTTCGGAGGAAAGTGAAGACCTGGCTGTTCGAACAAGCATTTGATTAAACAGTGTAATTGAACATAGGAATGGAACTGGAATAATGGATGATGAGACTGGATTCTGATTTCACTGTTGAGGCGCTAATGATTGTTATTCTGATGTTTAATGATTTATGTTACAATTGTTTTTAATTGCCCTATACTTGTCTCGTGATGTTTTGTATCGATGTTGTTCACCGCTTTGAGTCACCTGAGGGCTGAGAAGAGCGGTATATAAATAAAGTAAAGTAAATAATAGCTGAGAGCTCTTTGGAGTGCTTTCAGCCACTGCATGCCTTGCCCTCCTTCCGGCATAAGTACGGTGTGAGCGGCCCCATCCTTATGCTGGGAGGACGGCCCGAAGAAGACACGTAGCTACTGGGAGCCCTAGGGAGTGCTCTTGGCCATCACCTGTCTCGCCCTCCTCCTAGCATAATGCTGAAAAGACAGTCTGAAGATCAAGGATCAGGGAGGAGGATCGGTACAGTCATTGTGTGTCTCGCTTTGTTTCAGCATAAGGATGGGGCCAGCAGCCCCATCCTTATGTCAGAAAAAAAAAACTTGAAGATGCCCTCGGCCCTACCCCACCCCTTCCCAGCTCTGCCCTTTCCCAGGCCCTCCCCCTCCCACACCTGTTCCACTCAGCACATGCTCAGCCACCTTCCCTACAATGCGGCCCCAAGGCAAAAACTTTTTGCCCTTGCCTGCTCTATATTCTTCAGAGTAGTTTATGCCACATATGGGAACAACACAACAGGTTCATTTAACTACACATCTAGCTCTCTTTCAAAGCCAACGGAGTAAGCATTGAACAGTTCATGATAGTGATTCCTAAACATTGATTATACATCATGTAAAGCAACTTTTCACCTTCTATACTGACTTCTACTAGCAAATGTCTTCCCCTCTTCTGCTATACAATGGGTAAGCAACCAATAAACATGACCTTATTGCAAGAGAGAAGACAATTCAAACCCTCAAGAACCGTAGAGGGTATCTCAAGTGACCTGATGCACTGTCATTATCCCGCCTCCACATATGTCAGAGACTGGCAGCCAAGGGCTTAAAAAGACTGGCACTGGCCATGGACCAGCCCTAGGAGTAGCACTTCCACAGAAATCATTAAAATTTAAATCTAATCCTAGAACAGGGTTGGACTAGTTCCTACTCCTTCCCCCACTGGCAATGTTGATTGAAGTTGCAGCCCAACAAAATCTGGAGGACTGGGTTGTTGTAGGTTTTTTCAGGCTATATGGCCATGTTCTAGAGGCATTTTCTCCTGACATTTCGCCTGCATCTATGGCAAGCATCCTCAGGGGTAGTGAGGTCTGTTGGAACTAGGAAAAAGGGTTATATATCTGTGGAATGACCAGGGTGGGACAAAGGGCTCTTGTCTGCTGGAGCTAGGTGTGAATGTTTCAACTGACCACCTTGATTAGCATTTGATTGCCTGGCAGTGCCTGGAGCAATCTTTTGTTGAGAGGTGATTAGATGTCCTTGTTTGTTTCCTCTCTGTTGTTGTGCTGTTGTAATTTTAGAGTTTTTTTAATACTGGTAGCCAGATTTTGTTCATTTTCATGGTTTCCTCCTTTCTGTTGAAATTGTCCACATGCTTGTGGATTTCAATGGCTTCTCTGTGTAGTCTGACATGGTAGTTGTGAGAGTGGTCCAGCATTTCTGTGTTCTCAAATAATATGCTGTGTCCAGGTTGGTTCATCAAGTGCTCTGCTATGGCTGACTTCTCAGGTTGAATTAGTCTGCAGTGCCTTTCCTGTTCCTTGATTTGTGTTTGGGCAATACTGCTGCGTTTGGTGGTTCCTATGTAGACTTGTCCACTGCTGCACAGAATACGGTAGACTCCTGCAGACTCCCTCCTAGAGCCCTGTCTTCAAATCATTGTGACTCCTTCCAGTATTTCATATGCTTCTCAAGGAACAGCCATAGAGAGACATTCAACTTACCTGAGTCCAAATTTTCCAAAAGCAATTGCAATCCCAGTTAATTCACTCAGTCCTGCACAGGCCAAATTCGCATGCCAGGCCTACAAAATGTGCCAAGGCAAAGCAGCTGCCCAAGATGACAGACAATGGCACTCCTGTTCACGCTTTTGCACAGGATATCGGTTTCCAAGGAATGCCAAAGAACAGATCTCAACACACAAGTTTTGTTCACTGCCTCCCTCAGAGAAGCATAAAGCCTGCCCTTAGCCCACTAAAAGGGAAGCCATTTACAGTTCGCCTGCCCCCTCACCACGCTTCAAGCAAATGCTAGGAGAATGCCAGGAGCCACTGGCCAGCGAGTTTCTAATCAGTTAAATCATTTGCACAATGAATCATAGCCATCATTCGGAGCATGAATCACAACTCCAGGCTGAGAGCAAAACTCCCTTATATTGCCTTGGAAGTCTAAGGCGAAACCAGGAAATGTAAAAGACTTGGAGCCTGAAGAGGAAAAAGGCAGCACATGGAGCAATGCTTCAGGCTCCCTTGCACCCCAGATCCTAGAGAAATAAAATTAACTGCATAGCAATACTGAAGTCACAGTCTGAGTGTGGGTTGTGCTTTTCCTGCAATTTTGTTTCAAATCAACTCTTACTTACAGTGATCCTATCACCAGGTTTTCATTTATTCAGAGGTTTGTCACTGCTTTCCTTTTGAAAGCTAAGAAAGTATAGATTGCCCAAAAGCACCCATGGGTTGCTATGATTGAGAAGGGTTTGAACAGAATTCTAGCCCAGCACTCAAACCACTGCACCATGCAATCCCAGTACAAACATTAAAGCAAATAGCCCAGCAACCACTGGCTCAATAACACAGATGAGGTGAGGCAGGGGTCCTCAAACTAAGGCTCGGGGGCTGCATACGACCCTCCAAGGTCATTTACCTCGCTCAGTGTCAACCTAAATCTGAAATGACTTGAAAGCCACAGCAACATCAACAATCTTATCTCATCAGCCAAAAGCAGGTCCACACTTCCCACTAAAATACTAATAAGTTTATATTTGTTTAAATTGTTCTTCATTTTAATTATTGTATTGTTTTTAAGTGTTTTTGCACTACAAATAAGATATGTGCAGTGTGCATAGGAATTCATTCTTTTCTTTTTTTCCAAATTATAATCTGGCCCTCCCAAAAGTTTGAGGGACTGTGACCTGGTCCTCCGTTTAAAAAGTTTGAGGACCTCTGAGGTGAGGTCTGGGCTGATTCGCTCTAAGCTGTCATGTCAATGGAGCAGCAATGCAAATACCTGCCTCCTATAAGCAGTGCCACGTGGCTAAGACCAACGAGGAAAAGCCAGTGGAGACTAGAAAGCATGGTAAGTTTACTGCAGTGTGCACCTAGAATTCCTGTTTGACACAAAATCAAAAGGTAGACAACCAAAATTAACCCCCCTGCCCCCCCCCCCCACACACACACACTTTTCTGCTACTTAAGAAGCACCACAAAAGCCAGTAAAGAGACAACCACAACTGATGCAATGTGCTGCTTCCCCTTATCACACGCCCAGAAATTCAA